TCACGTGGGCTTGCCTGGGTCTCTGGTTTTGCCTCGCTTTGGGCTGGAGACTGTAAGAGCTTTGCCGTTCTTTTTATGCGACACAACATATCTTCAAATGATAGAAGTGATTGATAGTTCACTGTATACTTAGGGTCGATTTGTAATTCTAAACTATTAATTTTGTCTAATATATTTTCGTAATCCGATCGCAAAGAGTCCACCGTTTCGATTTCATATAAAAACGTTTCCCGCACTGAATCTACGTTAATATTTTTTATGTGATCACTTCTATATCTATAAACACTCACGCCTGTCACCCAGAGGGGTAGGCAGAGATTACAGACTTCCATTTGGCACGATCCTGACACACCTCTCTTGCCTCCTTCACATCCATACACCTACGCATACATGCTCGTCGGTTAAGGGTACTCGTAATTTGGCCCGTTTTCAATAAATCGCCAATTTGGTCGATAAATTTTCGCCTAGGACGTCCCTTTCCGACTCTGCCATTCACTTCTGCACCATAAATTTTCTTTTTCACTCTTTCCTCATTCATTCTTTCCACATGACCAAACCACCGAAGCATTCCTTTCTTAATCCTGGTCACAACATCATCTTGCAAACCACACTCTTCTCTTATTACACAATTTCTTACCCTGTCATTCAGATTCAGCCCTAACATACTCCTTAACGACCGCATTTCTACTGCGTTTATTCTACTCTCGTGCTTCTTCTGCCACACCCAACTTTCACTACCATACGAGTAGGGACCAACACAGCATTGTGAATTGCCATACGTGCCTTTTTCGACACATTTTGACTCTTCACAATAGAGTGCAAGGCCCCATTTACTCTATTTCCCGCATTCACTCGTCGTTCTATATCCTTATCATATCCCATCCCTGCTAAATACGCAGCCCAAATATACAAACTCATCTACTTGCTCGATCAACTCCCCTTCTATTCTTATTTCACAAATCGTTTTACTTTCTTCTCTTTCAAAAACCATAACCTTCGTCTTACTTGCGTTCACTTTAATACCCCTTTTTTTATGATCCGTTCATTAATGTAACCATCATTTGCAACTCGGCCGCCGACGACGCAAGAATAACTTGATCATCGGCGTACAAAAGGCATTTGACGGTTAACTCACCCATTCTTAATCCGCATTCTTCAACTTTCAAATTTTGCAAACAACTGTCCATAAATAGGTTGGACAGCCACGGGGAAGCCACACAGCCCTGTCTGACACCTTTATGGATGTCAAACCAGTCCGAGTAGACCCCGTTGATCCTAACACAAGCACTAGAGTCCCTATAAAAAGACTCCAATGCCTGTATCAAGCCAGCGCTCAACCCAAATGAGTTCAGTGTTTGCCATAGCAAATCCCTATCCACTCTGTCATAGGCCTTTTCCAAGTCCATGAACGCACAAAAAACCTTTTGGTTTTTGGCCAGAAACTTCTCCGCGATCATGCGCATGGAAAAGACTTGATCTGTACATCCCATTCCCTTTCTAAATCCCGAAATTTCTCCATCAGTTTCTTTCATGACCCTTTCAATCAATACCTTAGCATACAGTTTTCCCACAATGCTAAGAAGGCTGATGCCACGGTAGTTTTTACAGTCCTGCTACGACCCTCTTCTTTTATACACTGGGACTATCACGGCTTTGCACCAGTCTACCGGTACCCGCTTCAGTTCCCAGCATAAATTAAACAAGGTGTGCAGCAGGCCTGCCACCACTTCCTCTCCAGCCCTTAGAAGTGAAACTCTATCATATCCGGCAGCCTTACCTGCTTTCATGCTTTTCATTGCTTTCATTATTTCATCTATACTTATCTCGCTACCTCTTTCCTCTTCTTTCGGTGTTTCTACTTCACTTAGTACACACGTTGTCTCCTCACTCATAAACACGCTTTCAAAATATTCCTTCCATCTCTTTCAACTCAAAACTTCATCATTCAGAATATAGCCATTCTCGTCTCTTATAGCATTCATCATAGGCTGTTTTGAATGTCCCCTGGCAGTTCTTACAAGTTTCCAGAACATTTTAATATTTGCCTGGAAGTTATCCGATATTCTTCTATCATTCTTATCCGTTCTTTCTTGCTTTTTTCTTTCAACTACTTCTTTTACTCTCTTATTAATATGTCTAAAGACTGCCTTTTTTCTTTCAATATCACCATTCGTACCACTAGAATTAGCAGCCTTTGTTGCTAGTAAATCTAGCCATGCTCTCTTCTTTGCTTCAACTTCCATACGTATCTCATCATCCCACCATAACGTATTATTTTTCCTTTCATTCTTTCTCTTACTAATACCACATACTTCGGTAGCTGCATCCACTAAACTTTTCTTTACATTTTGCCATATATTCTCCAAGTCTAACTTCTTCATACATAATTCATCCAAACCACTTATATTTTCTTTCAGTCTACATTTGAACTTGTTTTTATCGCTTTCATCTTGTAACCTTTCTGTTCTAATACGCTGTAACGCAATGGTAGACACAGACGATCGTGGGCCCCACCGCCTGAATAGACCATTAATTCGGCATAAAACTAAATAATGATCCGTTCCTACGTTAGAACCCCGCTAAACTCTCGTATCTACCACTGCGCCCCTCAATCTTTCATCCACAATTATGAAATCTGTCATGCTTCTATCGTCACCTCTTTCCCAAGTATACATGTGAATCCTCTTGTGGCGAAAGCAAGTGTTCGTCACAAAAAGATTCTTTTCCATACATACGGTGAGGAGACTTTCACCATTCTCATTTATACTTTCATCACCAAACGTTCCCAATATCCTTTCATAACCAATCCTCCTGACCCCAACCCTTCCATTAAAATCTCCTAGCATAAAAATATTTGCATTTCCCTTACACTTCATTAACATCATCCTTACCATTTCCCAAAACTGCTCTCGGATATAAGTGAGCTTAGACATGTCTGGGGCGTAAACCCCTAACACAAACAACTTCTTTAAGCCCACTTTCATTCGTATCCATAGCAGTCTTGGGCTTACACATTCATACTCTTTCACACATTGGCCCATTCTTTCTGAAAGGATGATACCTACTCCCTGGCATGCCCGCTCGATCTCGTCTACACCAGACCAGTATGCGGTATTCATGCCATGTGTAGTGACATCCTTCCCCTTCCTTTTCGTCTCATTTACGCATAACACATCTATTCCTCTATCATACATCATATCGCATACTTCATCCATTTTATCATTCATTGCCCCACATACATTCAACGTAGCCAGACGGGCCTCTGCAATCCACTTTTCGCCTCTCCGAGACACAGAACGTGACGGGTGGCGAACTTCGTCGCCGGTTTTCCTCCCGGAGATTCTTCGCACCCCTGCCCCATTAAAGGGGCGCCGGGAATGAATGATCACTTATATATTGTATACGTGAAAAGAGTACGTCCCTCTTGGCGTAAAGAGTTTTAAGTTTCATCTTGAATCACTATAATTAATATTAGATTAATCACAAAGAATGTACAACGAATCGTACAACGCTGGAAGATGAACACAATGCGCTACGTGCCGTATTACGTCGTTAAATTGAACACGTTGTCAGTAATGTTTTTTTTTCGTGAAGTTCCGTCCAGTTATTTTATTCTAAATTTCATTGTATAAAAATAAGTAGAATGACATCTAAAGCTTGATACTAACGCAAATAATATTATTTACTTTTATTTGATTATATTTATATGTTTGATAGTAAATTATTCCATTCAATAGTAAAAGACAAAGTTGTTATTGCAGTATTATTGCGATATTATTGCTGTATTAGTTTCGGACGCTGAGCTAAGGAAGTAGAAAAAACCCACTCCACACTCACAAGATCGTCAGGCAACGGTTGGCTGTGTACAGAATTTATTTAAACAGTATTCTTTTGCTCTAAGAATTATTATATTTTAATTATCTATGTTTCCATCATCATCATTATAGCCGGTCACAAGTCCACTGCTAAACTTAGGCCTCCCCCAAAGAATATCACAAGGCACGGGATCTTAAGCCACCTGCATCTATCGGCTTTCTGCATTTCTTACAATGTCGTTATTGCATCTATAGTCCGTTCGCGTTAAGAAAATAGTGAGTCATCGTTGTCCGCCGGCCTGGCCACGCCCCCCAGCCAATTAAAGTGCAAGAAATTAGAAAGTCGAGTTCACAGTGACCAGTTAAAGTCAGACATTCGAACGAAACGGTTGTGTATTTTGCGTGTTACTCGTTCAACATTAAATTTTGAAAATGAGTACTATCGATAAAGTGGATCAATAAAAAATTATGTTGCTGCAATAACTCCACGTTCAAAATGAGTGACATAAAAATTATTAGATGACGCAATGGCATTAATAGACGCTAATCGTTGGAAGAAGTGCTGCGACCACGTGATACGCGAAGAAAATACCATGTGGAATTTGGATGACATCATGGAACTTGCAGAACAAAATTCTTTCATAATTAATGTAACTGGAGAATCTAGCGATACTGATTAGTGATTTAAGTAATTTTAAGAAAATTTGTTTCCATTAAACTTAATTAAATGTTTGAAAAAAAAAAAAGAATTTTTACTCCACTGTGAATACACCTTTACCCTGTAGTTGCACTGATGACTCACTATTTTCTTAACGCGAACGGACTATAGTAGTTTTTTTAATAAGATAAGAATGGTTGACAAACGAGCACACAGTCTACCTGATGGTAAGTGGTCTGGCCCATAGACATTTATATCTACCCTCGATAAGGAATCAAAATGCGGATACGTTTCCACTCGTGAGGACTTAGATGTAATGTCTCATTTCCAGTAAAATGAGTCTCCAGTTCTCTACGCTCACCATACGAAACACAGCAGCGTTGAGCTGTTCTGTTGAGAGCGTGGTCCTTCCCCGGTCGAGCCGACCAATTCGTGCGACAACTGTACCACTACTAATACAACTGCAGCATGGTTCTATCATGTAGAAAAAAAGTTGGGTTGATTCTCATTAATTTTTTTTTGTTAAGAAGGGTTACACGGACTTCAGTCAGAGTTTGCTGGATGAAATGGAATCTATGTTCCGAAGCCTCGATGACAGGAAAAGAGATGATGTAAGTATTATTTATGTCATGTTTGCGTATTATGTGACTTTGCGTTTTAAAATTTGGAACTATATTTTCAATGGAATTATAATTTCAATTTGAAACTAGTTTTTTCCATAAAAATTCAATAAAATATATCTTGCAAGTTTGCAACCGTAATATCTTTAGAATATTATCGCAATAACTAAATGAATAATTCGTATTTAAATATAATGATTTCTTATATTTACGCGAACATTGCATTGTTAACAATGACATCGGGACGTCAGTCATCTCAGTCCCCCGTGACCATGGGTGCTGGAAAGTGCCCGAAACGTCGGGAATTAAAAATAAAAAGTAAAATTAAACGCGATAAAATCCGTAAAAGTAGTTTTAATCACGTATTTAAATATGTTTGATATGTTTAATTTGATTGGTTTTCTTTTTAATTTTATTTAATCAGGTTTCGTACATAAACGGAGTTATGGGTAAGACATAGGATTTATAGTAGAACGCATTTTTTAATGTTTATGTATACACTGTACAGTGTAGTCAACATCGATGTTAGAATGTATAAATAGTCGGCGATGTACCTATGAGAGTAAGGTTATTTCTACCTCCTCTTACTTTCTTTCCATTATTGATACTGAGTTAATCTTTATAAAATTTATATGTAGGTATTTATTGAGAATGTTGCTTATATTACACGTTTATTCACTTCTAAAATTTATCCTATAAAAATATTGCTAGGGTGAAATCGAATAAAGTTATTAAAACTTTTATTATTTTCATTTTAACGTGACATACAGTTATAAAAAAAAAACATCAACGTTCCACCTTAATTACCTCACAGCGGGAGTTCTATGTCTGTGGTTCGTATCACAAGTAAGGAGATTCTTATAACCTTGCGGTGTCAAGACACGAATAAAGCTAGAGGACCAGATGGTATACCAGCTATAGTTCTAAAGGCTTGTGCACCCGAGTTCTCTTCTGTGCTGACACGTTTGTTCCGCCTCTCATTTAGACCTTAAGACCGATTTACATTTCGACAAGTACAGTAGCGAGTTAACTTGCGAACCTGGCGAGTTAAGTTTGAACCTCGTTTGAACGGCAATTAGCGAGTTAAGTAGCAAGTTAACGATTAAGTTGAACGGGATAGCCGTTCGAGCTATTTTTCGGCGAGTTAAGTGCGAAGTGCTGCCCTCCCGCGCGTCTCCCGCCACCCGCAACTAAACTCGCCGTTAGTGTAAACGAGCGAGTTTAGTTCAGTGCATAAGTTGACAGGACGCAACGTTTGCGCGCCAAAACGTACAATTGTACTTTCATAAATAAACTCGCCACAAAGTTTGTACGATACTGATTATTGAATATTTATACGTTTTATATTGAGTTTTAATTAAAATGGACGGAAGATATCACGTATAAATTTGTACAGGAGTATCTAGAATACGAATGTTTATATAATAGTAGAAGTTCAAATTGTTAAATTAAACCTGCTCGAGATGCTGCACTCATGAAAATCATTAAAAACTTCTTTAATACTTCTCTGACTGGATCATTTAAGTCTTGACGTAATCCTAGAACCATCTTAAACGAAAACCATAAAAATTCTGTAGTCTTGAAACGTCATACTCTAACAAACTCTATAAACTAATGTCCCTTAACTAAACTTGCCATGAAGACATTGTTTGAACGCTACTGCCCACTTAACCGTTCACTGTCAACTGCCTTGTAACTAAACTCGCTACTGTACTTGTCGAAGTGTAAATCGGTCTTTAGGAATAGTGCTAAATTCCTGGAACTTGGTAATCTTGCAGCCTGTCCCGAAAAAAGGCAGCCGTGCTGACACTGCCCATCATCGGCCAATCTCAATTACCTCTATACTCTGCAAGATTATGGAGCGTATATTGAACGCCTGCTTAATGGCATACCTAGAACAGAATGACCTCAGTGACTTCCAGTTTCTTATTCGCCGAAATAAGTCAGCTTCGCAGCAGCGTTCTAGCATATGCTACGCACGTATGGGGCGAGGCAATCGAGAACAGTAAGGAAGCACTAGTTGTCTCCCTTAACGATGGAAGGCCTTTCACAGAGTTTGGCACGCTTTTTGGGTAAGCTTATCCTCCTGGTCTGATTGAATGGGTAAAAGACTTTCTGAGTGAATGGTCTCTCCAGGTCGTCGTCGATGACTGCTCATCTGACCCTATGGCGACTAATGCCGGTGTTACTCAGGGGTCCAATCCTGCTGCAACTCTCTTTCTGCTGCATATTAATGATCTTATTATGCCCGGTATCTAATAGGTACGCAGATACGCAAACTCGTGGAAAGATACCTAACTAGTCCTTGGGCCAGTCGGGATCAAATCCGGTCCGAAAGAGAAGCTGGTTGAGCGTGTGAATCTCGCACTATAGACAGTCTCCGAATGGGGCGATGCCAATCTTCAGGATGCATTTCGGAGAGTGTGCACAGGAATTGCATAACTCAATTACTCCCTCTCCTTTTCACCATTGGACAACTAGACATTCGGCCAGTCCTCACCCTTTCATTGTTGACTTACCACGCATTCGAAACAAACGGTTTACTATGTCGTTCGTCATGCGTACACAAAAGGAGTGGAATTATTAGTTTGCCAGCATCTGTCTTTTCATCCGATTACAATCTGGGTGTCTTCAAGGCGAGAGTGAATAAGCTTTTGTTAAGTCAGTGCGCTTCAATATCTTAGCTAAATCACCGCTTACCATCAGGCGGTATTGTAGTTAAGCGCTAACTTAAATAATTAAAAAAATATACAAGTAGTTTTTGTCCGCGACCTCGTTAATGAGATTAATTAATTTTTTGGCAAAATGTTTAAAAAACTTCGTAAAACGTCTTAAAGTCTATTCAAATCATCAACTAACCTACGTCCAATAGTTTTAAGGAAAATTGTCTGTTACATCCATACGCGGTCGCAATATTTTACTATTTGACCAGAACACTTGACAAATATTTGACTACAAGTCCGTCGATTTTAGGTTTACATTTTTAAGTGATACCGTTTTAATATTATAAACTTACGGTTGCGACTACTTTACTTAAATTTCGGGCATGAAATTCTAACTTGTGGTTAGAAGCCACGATTAGGAATTGAAAAACATATTTAAAATGTATAAGAGTATTCAACGTTCATTAATTAAATAATATCAAGCGCTGCCTTCAGCTGTATAATATGAATAATTTCTCGCTAATTATAGGACTTAAAAGAAATACTTTACGTACTTTTAGATGTCAAAGTATCAGACTATTTGGTTTTGTTTTCAGAATTATTTTCGATAAAATATTGGTAATTTGTCAAGCCTCGAGTCATAGCATAAAAACGACGTACAAATATTTTGTAAAATAAATAATTTTTCAATAAAAATAAAATCTGACAAATCACTTCTACTACAGAAACACTTAGCATAGCCCTTCCGTAATTTGTTGAGCGATTTTGAGCGTTATGGTCCACGCGGCGTTTTATAATAAAATTTATAACAACTTATAATTTTGAATATTACTTACAATTTTAATCTCAATAAATGTTTTATATGAAATCCTATTATTTATAGGAGTCAATACTGTTAAATATTAAAATAAATATTTTTACTTAGGAAAAATCTTCACATAAACAAGCTAATTTTGCTAATCTATAGAACCATAATTTATATTTGAGATACCTATTGCAGGGTTTGTACTTTTAACTTTTGAAGGGAACTTCTGCTGAGGGATTCCCTCAATTAATTGCCTGAATTGATCATTAAGAAAAAACCATTTTAATTATAAGGTTTTCATTCTTCATCGATGTTGAGTAAAGCAGTAGTATATCAATGGTTCGACTCATTTAACATTTCGTTAATAACATTTTTGATAACCTTTCTCAATCCAGGAAACATTATTATTTTTAAGGATAGTTCTATATCATTTCACTACGTACGTACGTACGTACTACTTTCACCATATATACTTCTCGTGTGTTTTTTGGCAGTTTATTGAACCATTCAAATTTTGCTTAAATGCAAAACAAAAACTGTCGGAAAAGTATTGTGTTTTTGTTAAGTCTCTAATAAGAATTGTTTTGTACCAATGTTTGTGCTTTATTTGACCTAGTGATTAGTTTATCAAAAGTAGTTTGTTTCATTCATAAATTAAATATATAAGAAAGTGTTTGTACGTAATGGTTGTAAATAATCTTTAAGTTCAACCCATTAGATACAATTTAGTTGATTTAGAAAGCAAAATTGTTTATATTGAATCATGAACCGCTTAAATAGTTTTGAATCTTTGCTTTGGTACTACTACATGCCTTATAAAAGATATAGCAATTCTAGTTTCTAGCTTAAACAAAGGATAATTAATATTATATCTAATACATCTAAAAGTCTCAATGATTCATAATTAGATAAAAGATTTCGTGTTAAGGTAAAATAAAAAGTTATTTTTATTTACATTCTCTTTATTACATTTACAAAATTGATATTATATGTAGTATTAGTGTAAGCCATAAATAATCGATTTACTGTAAAACTATTCTAAATATTATTGTTTAATAAATGATTTTTTTCAGCCTTCGAGCAAACAACATTATGATATCGACAACGCTATAAGGTAATATAATATTATTCTTTTAAAATTGAGTTTTACACTTTAATTAAATTATTTTAGATTAATTAAACATCTTTATTTATAATATAAAAAAGTGTAAAATAAATTTTTTTGGTGTTAGTTATTATTTTTTATGAAAGTATTTAATGAAATCAACATTCAATTTTTTTTTTCAAATTTCGTTTAATTATTTATATCATAGAGACGAAGAACAAAGACAGGATTTTACTTAGTAACTTGATATTCACGAGGACTGGTTCATAATTTCACGAAATTAAACGGCTGGGAGGTAAACTTTCTAAACCTGCACGGCATTAATAATATAAATACAAATTGCAAAACAATCGCATTATAATTCATAGATTAAACAAGTGAATCAGAAAGGCAATTCAAGAAATGTAAAAAAATTAAGTTTCGCGACGTAATAGGATTTGTACTAATAAAACCTCCACAAATGCATTTTTGAGGAGATATCTACCTGGAATCTCCATAATTTACAAGAAGTACATTTTTTTAAACTAAAGTACCGAACAAACTCGCAGTTCACCTGATCGTAGCTGCTGCAGATCGTGTACATCTGCAGCCAACAAAACGGAACAGAAACCGAAACTTTTTATTCAATATTGATTATAAATATCTTATTGAAAGTCATTCCATCAGAACCATTTAATACGAAGAATCATTTTATACGTGGTAGTGCCATGCTGCTGCTATATTACTGCTATAGTTGTAGCACGAATGGGTCGGCTTGACCGGAGAAGGACCACGCTCTTATTGATTACCAGCGTAAAATATCAGCTTAATGCTGCTGTGTTTCGTATGGTGAGTGTAGAGAACCGTTTTTACTGGAAACGAGGCAGTCTATCTTAGTCCTAATGGGTGACAACGTATCTGCATTTTGATTCGTAATCGAGGATAGATGTAGATGTCTATGGGCCGCAGTAACTACTTACCATCAGGTGGATTGTGTGCTCGTTTGTCACCCTTGTCCTATAAAAAAAGAAAAGGCATGTAACATCGGTTTACTTTTTTTTTAAAAGGGCTTACAATCAATCACAAAGTGTTACACAATGAATACGAAACAAATAAAAATATATTGGTAATAATCTCCTGACACAATTAACACAAAACAAGTTAGATATAGCTTGTTAGCAATCAGCCCATTTCTAGGGATTATCATTCAAAAATAAAAAATGCTACAGAGGCGTTGCCATCTCCGAAGACTAAGATGGAATGCCTCAAAGCCTGTAACTATACAGTCTTCAGACTGGAAGTATTCAAAAAAGTTTATTAATGCTGCCGCTATACTTTCAACACTATAATTTATTTTCTCAGATCTTATACGCTGAATAAGGCTGAGAAGAAAAGAAGCTTCAACACCGGCACTATGAAACTAATGTCCGCGCACGACGAGAAGACCCTAGACACGGCTGTAGCACTTGCTAATGAAATAACTACAAAGTAAGGATGAGAGTTTTTTATAGTCTGATCAGTAAAATTAAACATTTGCTATATATTTATATATACGTCATTCAATTTGCTTAATTAATACAATATTGTGTTCTATAGTTCAGTTAAAATGGTAGTTTGACTTGTGAGATTGAACAAATTTAATAAAATGAAAAATGTTTATAATTCGGCTTCGGCATTTCGTTAGGAAGTTAAAAGTTTGTTTAGTCTGTTACCGTTTCAAAATAACTTTTTTTTTGCCCTAGGGAAGAAATAGCAAAAGAAAAACTGTCAATTTTTTAAAGGTTATTTACTACCGTAAATGAAGAGGAATAAACACATAGTCTATGGAAAAGTTTTAACGAGAATTCTATCTTAACAGTTCAAGCTTCTTTGTGTATAGGTACCGTGTTTTGGCAGAAACAACAAAGAATTTTGATAGACAGTGATGAAAGGCTACAGAGGATGGTTGTGGGCGTTATCTGGTAGCTTCTGGTCGTCTGGCTCTCGAGCTGGCACGGATCATGCACGACGACAATCGATTAACCCAACCAACAATACAATTTTAGAAACATGGTTGCTTTTGATTTGAAGTTTGACGTTTGATTTTGCTGTATTACGTAAATGTGTCAGTATCGACTATAAGCAGATGTGTAATGTGTGATGTGTAGTGTGTGTAATGTTTATTGTCTTATAACTAATAAAAATAATATATTTACGGTCCGTACGGATGAAGAATGGGATTAGATATGGCGGCTCATCGAGTCCTTACCGTCTACCTGAACAGTACCAATAGCGAAAACCTGGAAAAAATGATTAAGATAAATATCGAAGATCCGTTAATATTACGTAAAAGGAGGCCTTAACACCTTATCCTTTTACACCCATCGTTTTCTTGTAAAATGGTGTAGTAGTAAAAACATCTTAAAAATCGATTTTGCGACAAACCCCTTTTTGTTCTAAATTGCAAACCATTGAATTTTTGTTGTTATTTTTTTATATTTTATGTTTATGAAATAACCATCAAAAACCGATTAATTTTAAGTTTATTTTGATGAATATAATCTCCACGTTTTTTTCAGATAAATCATGGATATTTATCCATCTTTTTCACATAAAACATAGAGTTATTTTCCCGGCATTGCTCTCTGTTTGTAAAGTTGAATCATATTTGGCTTAACCATTCGGAACACTAATCTAGCCCAGGCGGACAGACAAAAATTTTAAAAATGAGACGACGCCAGTTATTTCTTAATTAATAAAACCCGTTAAATTAGTTTCATTTAATGTGAAACAATTTTTAAAGCTAATATTCCTACATATTATAATAAATATATCCTACAATTATCCTACTCCTGATACACTGCATATGTTCCATAGTCTCGAACTTTAGTTTTCTGCGTGAGAACTGCACACAGTTTTTCTTTGTAATGATGACATTGCGGTTCCTATGTGCCTCTTATGGTTTAGTCAGGATGTGTTTTACCTATTGTATAAAGATAAAAATTATTGTCTTGTTACTTACAGATCAATGAACGATCTCGACACCGACCAAAAGTTGCCAAGTTCGCCGAGTGATCGTTCCAAATTCCACTTTAAATTTCCACTGGTCTCTCTACATCACAACGCTGCTCACGAGTCTGAAGCTGGTCAGTGCTTTTGTTTTTAAACTAAACTCTAGTGCTTACTATTAATTATTTTATTCATCAATTAAACAAGTACACTGCTGAATATAAGCCTCCTCTATGGGTTGCCATTGTTGCCACGCTTGAGGATTGTGGCAACCGCAGCCTTTTATCATTGTCAGTTGTCAGGAGGATGCCTCTGCCAATCTCCTGATTCAATTTCCCTTTGTTGCCCCTTACGGTACCCCCGGGATCTAGTCTAGTCTAGTCTAGTAGTGTATAATCTTATGTCGCCACTAAATAGCACTTTTATGCTTTGTATAATGTTTACTATTTTTAAATTATAAAATGTATTGATAATTATTTATTACTAGAAACATATTTCAATAAAACATGAAGTAATTTTAAACATTACATTACTTTTACATTTACCATTTTACCCGATTATATAGGCATAATTAATTAGTACAATATAATTATAATTAATATTTTTTTCGTTTCATTAATTTTCATCTCTTCATGTTCTGAATCTATTCTATTATTATTGGATATGTTTAGTTCAAAAATAATCATCTCTGTAAGCTCCTCTTAATTGCTCTGGTGATGACTATTACATCATCATTTCAAGATTATTTTTATTATTTATAAAATTATTTCTAATATTCAATTTAATTTCAGGAAAACACGAAAGGCGAAATTTTAGTGAAGAAGCAAATAGTGTTCCGGACATACAGGTGAATCTAAAAAAAAAGATTTAAAAGATCGAGCTCGTGGTCACATTTGAAGCCATATTTTTTATATGGGATATGGTAATAAACGGGCACACAATCCACCTGATGTTAAGTGGTTGCTGCGGCCCATAGACATCTACATCTATCTTCGATTACGAATCGAAATGCAGATGCGTTGTCACCCGTGAGGACTAACATGAAATGCCTCGTTTCCAAAAAAAAAAATACGTGTGGCACTCGGTGACTGCCGCGGTAAAGCTATTGCATAGCATTTTTTATCAACTTATACAATTATAATTATTTATTTATTTTATTTATGCAGTTAAGTCTTTGATATTAAATCAAGTTACACTTTTTGAGAGTGGTGACCGATAAGAAAACATTTTTTTTCTCTTATTGTATAAATGAGAAGTTAATATTGTTTAAAATATTTTTAATATCTTACAATACATGTAGGTTATTCAGGAATTTTTATCATTGAGTTAGCAGCTAGTGTACATGCATACGTCTAGTCGCACGCACACAAACACCGTGCCGAACTCTGCCGAGTGCCGAAGTCTGCCGAACTGAAACGTTAGACAATGCACGGCTTTCAACGCCACACCTCCGTGCCCGTCGGAGTGGGGAGCGTGAGTTTTTTTTTCGTTACGGAATTTCTGGATTCGGTCCCCGCGCTCAAGGCCCGCGATAGAAGCTATGCAATAGCTTAAAATGATCGCCGGTTCTCTACACTCACCATACGAAACACTGTAGCATTATTAAGCTACTACATATTTTACGCTGGTATTCTGTGAGAACGCGGTCCTTTCCCGGTCGAGCAGACCCATTCGTGCTACAACTATGCTACTAATATAATTGCAGCATGACTACCACGTATATATATATATATATATATATATATATTTTTTATACACAAATACCTTTTGCCAGCTATCACATTTATTGGACTGAGCATTCCAACTGAAAAATCGGTACCTACAATATTCGATTCTTAAGAGATATCGATATAGATTGTTTAGAGATAATCAATTAAAATTTTATCTTGATTAATATCAGAATAAATTAGAAACATATAACTCCAAACATATTATTTATCCTTTTTTCATATTTATTGCTTACTACTAATTTCTAGAGATAAAGTTATATAATTAAGTGCACTAGATTAAAAACAAATTTATTTAATAACTTTCACTACAACTAGAAGTGCTTTTGTCGTAATCATTGTTGTTTACATTAAATATTATTTGATTTTCATAGAATTTCATAACAATTTTCTTTTTTCTTCATCACTGGCCCAGTTATCGCTTGTGTAGTAGATTTATTTTCTACAAATCCGCCTCCGGCGGATCCCACACGGCAAATTATGGGGTACCTTTTTCCGCAGGTACGTCTCATCTGCCCATGTAGTGAATATAATGTCCTAATTGGTTGTATTTTTAATTTTTGGAAAAGTTTTTGATAAATATTCGTTTGTCAATGTTTCTGTATCGGGAACAGATTTTTTTTCAAATAGTTCTCCATGACTATACTACTGGTACGTTAGGTTAGGAAAAATGGAATAAGATGCTTTTCTTTTAAAGGGAAGAACCATGTACCTGCATAGGCTAGAACTCCTTGCAGTTTTTCTATCGCTTGATGCTGGCGGTTTTTTCTTTTATTACACAATAACGCAACACGGCACTAGCAATTAGCGTATTGTCTTTGAATTTAAAGAGAGATTATTATTTTTAATTATTTATTTTGCGAGAGCGACATGCCATTCGCATCGCAGCAGTTTATTCATTTTCAAGTTATGTCGCGTGGCGCTGGCGTTGACTACTTCATAAAATGCGTTGTTTTCCATGTTTCTTGAAGTAAAGATGGGAAACTTTGAGTTAGGACGTTGAAATTAATATATATGCACTATTTTAATATAAATAAAGGTTTACATCGCAGCGTTTTCGCGTCAACAACTACCATTGTAAAAGCTGGCATCTCTTAATTAATTACTCGCTACTTCGCACAGTGTAATTGACAGCAATTATTAAAAAATAATACTTGTTTAATTCATCATTCATATTTATGGAACTCTAAAAATAAAATTTAAATAAATCATCATCATCATTACAGCCCTTCACAAGTCCACTGCTGAACATAGGCCTCCCCCAAGTAATGCCACAAAGCACGGTCCTGAGCCACCTGCATCCATCGACTTCCTGCATGTCTTACCACAGAACACGGAATAAGACATTAGAACGGCTCCAATACACTTTTTGTACGAGAACCTGCATCGGCAGTAGGTGGAACCCTGTTGTCACAACTACATTTGCAAATATAAGTACACGCTCACACATGCATTAAAGACGCCAATCAAATATGTAAAAGAGCCAATCAAATGACAGGCAAAATCGAGCGAACTAATCCGGCGCGTGCTCACTCACACATCCACATACATGTAGTGAAGGCGTTAAGACGCGTAAACGACTAGTGAGGTGAAGTGGCGATTGACAATTTTTTATTGATATCGATAAAAACTACAAGTTGAGTGTTCGTGTTATGTAGGAATGGATGTAGGAAATGGATACAGTTTGTATTTAGGTAAGTTATAAATAAAAATTAATTACTGTATTAAAATTAATGTTGTAAGTATGAAGCAATTTTGATCACATTTAGTACACAGATAAATTAGATCTTGGGGAAGGACTTTATTTGGTTGACAAATTTTGTTGAGAGCTCTAAAATACAAAGGGTTAAAAATCAGACATAAAATAATTTGATGTGATGAATAAGCAAAGCACTTCTAAAAATTAACTTTAAAAGAGAAAGTTTTTTTTATTGCCCCTGAAATATTATATATTTGTTTAATAGTTGCCGCTTAGTTTCTTTTTGTGTCATAGAGTTTTTCAGAAAGAAGTGAAGTCGAATATTTAGGTATTTCTCTATAACAGCCTTAGTTAAATCGGTTATGTGGTTAGAAAACGGACATTGTCCAATGTCATGAAATTTGATTGTGTCAAACAAAGAGCTCTCAACGAAATTTGTCAATACTTTAACATCGATTGATTTTTTATTTATGTTTATTGATTTCACCATATGTTGCCGTACAAGTTCCGTAAATTTACAAATTTTTATTACGTCACTCGAAGGATAGATATTAAATTTACAAATTAATTTGTGGCAAGAGTCAGTTTGACTGCATAAAAGAGCTCCGATACATATGTCGCATTTTATTTTATTAATGAGGGAATGAACAACGTTGCCAGCTATATAACCTAAAACAGAAAAAAATCTGTAACATAGGGATACACTCAAATAAGGACACCTGACTCGCGAAACTAGGGAAATGTGCTATCAGGAGTCAGTGATTATGACAGGAGTAGGCAGATATAGTACTTGATCTGCCAAGTCGAGCAAAAAAGCGGCACAGCCGTATCATCCTTTTCTCGAAGCAATTCAGGTCATTTTCGATTCCCTATAACTTTGTCGTGGATAAAACTAGAAGCACACAACAACTGAAATTACAGCAACAAAACAGACATTGTATAAGCACGGTATATTTCAAATTTTATTCAATTTGAACCAGCAGCTTAAGAATTATAACTAGTCAAAATTTCTTAATTTGTCACTGACTGACTGACTGACTGACCGATCATCAAAAGTCTAAGACACTTCTAGTAGACATAGAAGCTTGAAATTTAGAATACAATTAGTGTTTAGTGTACAGATCAAGGAAAAACTAAAAAAAATATGTTGCGTTTTTGGTCCAGTTTTCTAGATACACCAACTACACAAATAACTTTGTAATCCCATATAATTATATAGGATTACAAAGTTACATTTTCAGTGAACGAATCTGTGTACCTGTATTTGTAATATGTATAATGGAATAATAAGTAAAAAAATAGTAGATAGGTACCTAGATATAATTATCTACAAAAAGAAATGAGATCCCTTAAAAACAAAACTTGTAAAAACCAAGTCTCGCAACTCAGTTCTTCTACCGTAAAAAGTTGTGAGATCCATGTAATACCAAGTCGGTTAAATAAAAATATTGACTTGGCTATCGCACTAGACAATCTAATTTAATATAATATGTATTACTTGTTAGATACATTGTGTTTTCATGCGATGGCCAAGTCAATCTTTTTATTTAACCGACTTGGTTTTACATGGATCTCACAGTTTTTTAAAATAGAAGAACTGAGTTGCGAGATTCGTTTTTTTTATAAGCTTTTGTAATATGCAAAGGGTAAGATTTACGATCAAAACTTGAAAAATGATGTGTGAAAAAAATTACCTATAACTTGCATACTGAAATCTGTCAAATAATAATGATCCAGCTTTTCTTCTTGGAATTCATTGTCTGATTCGTTGCCGCAAGCTTTTTCTGTTGACGGCGTGGTCAAATTAATCCGGTCAACAGCTGAGCAGGTTAAAATAGATAACTGTTCAAGCGCATTACAGTTGCCACTGCCGAAATCCTTGAGTTCTATGTGAACTAATAGTTTTTTATATGCTGCTTTAAACTGCCTGGCTGTCGGATTGTTATTAGATCCACCATGAGATCTAATATTGCCAAAAAGTAATTCCAGATGGTCCTGGCTTGTTTTATAAAAAGGAAAAAAGACCAATTCTCCAGTTTGAACAAGAGTCTCATAAAAGTGTCTGACAGCTACAGCGCAGCCGATAAATCCTTTGAAACCTACTTTCCTTTGGCTTTCAATCAAAAGTGGGCCATTGTCACACTTTAAATTAGATATATAGCCAGCAACTTTATCTACATATTCTAAAATTTCTTTAGCATTATTTTCATTAATAGGTTTTTTATAACCGTGTTGTGACATGCTTTTTGAATTAAGTATATCAAAAAAATTATTAATTGTTTTTAAGAAAACTGTTGTTGGTAAACTTTCACGAAAAATTGGTAAATTTAGTTCTTCTCTGCAAAAATCTATGGCATCACATACGCTTAAACTAAATAATTGGGTGGAAGTTTAACTTTCATCTTTTGATTGTGATAGTGT